ATATATATATATATATATATATATATAATTACTTGAATTTATTGTTAATAGGTACATAATATAAATATATGTAAAAGATTATTCATTGGATTATAACTTTGAAACAAACTAGTTGAGTATACAGCTCTTCAAAATTTCAATGAATTATGCTCCTCAACAGGCCCGGTCTAAATCAAAGACAGATCCCAGAGACACACAGAGGCCAAAAAAATGTAAATATAAATAACCACCCAAACAATCAGATCTTCACATCAACCACCGAATAACAACTACGCAACGGCCTGATGTGTTATTATATAAGGCTTTATAATAAAGAATCCATACGCTAGATTTTATTTCTCTTCATGCAATAACGTAAATCACACCTTGTGCATTAACAAGAAAATATAGTAACACATGCACATCAACACTAAAGCAAAAGAAAAAAGATCTCGAATATGATTCTATAAACGAATTCAATAAAAAAAGGGATTTCACCACATTGCTAACCCCATTAGCAAAGATGCCTGTGCCCACACACCCCGTCTTGAAACAAAAGCGACTTCACTCCTTTCGTTTTGAGTTCAGGAACAGAATAGGAATGTTGGGTGGGGAGGTTAGGTTGAGAGAGGTAGAGATGGTGATTGCGGTGGTGGTGATGGATTTCTTTGTTTGGAGGATTTGGAGAAGATGATGGAGGATTTGGTGAAGATGATGGAGGGAGTGGAAGATCGAAGGAAGGAGACGAGGGAGAGGGAGGGAGAAAAGCTGAGAAAGACTGACTCAATGTTAGAAAAAAAAATCGTGCAACTCCACCGTTAGCCACCTCGGCCTTTTTTTAACATCGTTGGGTTTGGAGGACAAAAGTTATGGTTTCTTTAAGAAGAAGGATCAAAATATAGCTTAGTTTGAAATATGGACTAAAAACAAATTCGCTTAATAGTTTAGGCACTAAAAACATATTTAACCCTATTAATTTCTTACAAACATGTTCGCAATAAATAAAAGCAAAGGAAAAAAATAAAACAAGTACTTGGACACCCTTAACAAAAATACAACTACCTTATAATCCATTATACTAATATAATAATATATATTAGAATTTGAAATTAAACAATAAAAATAAATATGATTAAATTATTATTCTGAGTTATAAAATGGATATTTTTTTTATGTGATGACTGTTAAAACATCATCACCCAAAATGATACTTTGATAACATTTTTTTAACAACATTTTAACACCATTTATGTGTCATTCTTTGATTTTGGTCCATGTTGGTGTTTATGATTATTATTATTGATTGTAGAGTAATTTTGAACCAATCACAAAATGACACGTAAATGATGTTAAAATGTTGTCAAAATATTTAGGAATTAAAAACGAAAGTAACATACTTGTTAGAAAAAAAATATTATTATACTTTTTTTCTCTCCCTCTTGTAAAAGTCCCATTCTTCTAATTAGGGTTTAGGGAATATACTGAGAGAACGTATGATGGACACGAAGCATTTAAATCTTGAATCAATTACAAGAGATGAAGCTTTGAAAATGGAGGGAAAGAAAGAGAAAAAAAAAGAGGGGAACGAAAATGGGGATAAAGGATATATTAATATTTAAGTCTTTATTTCTAATTAGTTTAATTTAAATATTTTTCCATATAAATATTTCACCTTTTACTTTTAGTTTGTGTTTCTATTTTCTTTAAATACGTAATTATTTATTTGAATGTTTGTAATTATTGTCTTTAATTTCTAAAAACATTTCATTCGTGTTTTTTATTCCTAATAATATCAACGTGATAACGGCAACTATGTCAACATTTTCGTAATAGAGAATGGTGATAAGATTAAAATAATTCATTTATTCTATAAAAAAATAAAATAATATTCAATTCTTGTTAAATTAACTAAAATCTTCTATACTTTTAGATTGTTTGACTGAAATCATGTATATATAGTTGAACAAGTAACAGATCATTTATGATTTTCTCACGTGTTTACTTGTATCTATAGAGTTAACTAAACTTGTAGAATTAACTTTATATCACAGTTCATATTTAAGATATATAAAAATCAGTATATTGTAAAAGCACATTAAAAAAACAACACAAAAAATCTAGTTGAAAATTTGAATTCAAATAACACATTCTTGACTGGATATTGACCAAATGACACATTATGAAGTATATTCGGCTCTTAAATTCACATTCAGTCTTCTGAGGGAATGTGTTATATGCTGTTAAAAACTTAAAAACAAGTTTTAGATTCAAAGTTGTTATTTGCATTTGAAGTTTCATTTATAAAAAATTAATAAGTAATGGTATTATGACATATTTTAACATTTATTTGGTATAGAATATAAAGATAAAATAGTCATAAAAGTATATTTTTATATTTTTTCTATTTTTTCAAAGAAAGAAGAAAATAAAAAATAAGAAAAAATGATGTTAAATGAAGGTAAAAAATGTAAATATACAAAAAAAAAAAAATCATTTTTCAAAATAAATTGGTATGTAGAACCGAAACTGTGCATTATCACACGCAAAAACACAAAAAAAGCATACTATCCATTAATGTTCCTTCCTACATCAAAGTGCACACAGTCCCTAGTTGACTAATTGCTAACCTTTTCTAGTTGACTAATTGTTGTGCTCATGTCTCCCTTAACAACATGCCCATTGTCTCTCCTGTTTTTATTTTTTACCAAAATGTCCTCTGAATATTAGTGGCAACTGAAAAAATATTTCTCAAACTAATTGAACAATAGACACTTTGACATATATATAGATAAGTTAACAGATGAAAAGTGAAAATAAAATAATAAGGTCGTTGCAATAATAATAAAAAAAAACTTGAATTATTTGGCGGTTAATTTGTTTTTAAGGTCTTGCTGAAAATTGTCATTAAATAAAAATTTGCTGAAGATCTAACATTTTCTTTTTCAGAAAAACTCCTCTGCAAAGGATCTGGTGCAATATTACAGGTTTTGTAAGAAGAGGAGTACTAACATTATCTTTAAACGTATGTCTTTTAACAAGTGCTTCATTATTGTTTAAAAATTTATCAAAAACTAAAAAAATAGCAAACTAAATTTGGAAAAAAAAAATCTCCATAAACTTTATCTATAAGAGAGTGGTTTAGAGAATTTGTTAAAAGTGTGAATTAGATTATGTAACAATGTGTTGCAGGTGTAGCATGAAAGGGAAGTTTTCATTTTTGTGTTAGCTGCTCTAGTGAGTGATGATAATAGAATGGAGGTTAATGTTTGGTTGTTGGGAAATATGCAGAAAAAAGGAGGTTTAGGTGTAGGTGGTGTAATTGGTGGTTCTGTGGCATGTGCATGCCAGCTTTGCAGGTGCCAAAGAAGCATGTAGTTTGTTATCTGTGCCTTCTGAAGTCTCTTTTAGGTGGAAGTTGCTTGGTGGCTTAGGTAAGTGATCTGGAATCTGATTCTATGGAGCCTCTGCCTGTAATTAATCAATCATGGAATGAACCAACACTGGAGTCTGCTTTGGGAATTGGGATGACCCTACGAACTCCTTTTTAAGGCTGTCTCTAACTGTTCTTTTTATTTCATCTGTACCAAAATAAAAATGATGACTCAGATGAAACCAACAAGCATTTCATTACACCAAGCGTGTGGGGTCAACAAATATGTTCTCATCATGCTATTATATTGCACAGTATTTTAAGAACTGTTCTGCTCACAATGTGGCTCTAAGTATCAGCTCACAATGTTCTCACAATGTCAATTTTCAATGCACCACAAAATTTTAATTCTGTCATAATCACTAATGCTTCATTTTATATACTTTTGCAAACATAATATTTAGTCATGTTTTGAACCATATTACGCATAGCAAATTTTGAGATATAGTGCAATGTTTCAAGCATCTTTATTTAATCTGCTCTTTGTATGAAGGGTGCTGCATTTTTTTGAGTCATATTCATGGTTTACACAGAGTTTGTTCTTACCTAGTTTTCAACCAGCTTTACAAAATTATAAAGTCATAAGGGTACATTTACCTGCCTGGGGGTTTTCTTTCCATCCCAGGTGAAACATGCCAGAATTATTTTACTGTTCTTTTCGCCTTTTGTGCAATTGAACGGACAAGTGATACTCCCCGATCCATACTCTACCATCTGCATGTTCCTGTCACCTGTAACTGCAGTTTCCCTGCAAAGGATGATGTCAAGACTCCAAAATGCCCCTAGATTGAATCATTCACCCTGATTTACTACACCAACACTACTACCTATATACTACTGTTGCCTATTCTGTCACAGCCATGTCATTTTGCTACATTTTTATGGGTTGTAAACTATAAACACCTGACTACTTAACACATTGATCATTAGTTACAGTATTGTTTCAGTTTAATCGCTATGATTTTTTCAGTTTAACCAATAATCTCGTGCCCTCCTAAATACACAACTACGTAAAAATACTCAAGAGATAAAACTTTATCCTTCACATTTATCCTACTCAACTCGAACAAAATTGTTTCTAGTGGAAGATATTTACAATCTTTACCCTAAAAAACCTTCCTTTAGTGTATGTTGCAGCTAGCTATATATTTTCGGTTTCACTGTGTATGTCATGTCTTAGCTTGGACCGCATTATTGTAATACTATTTTTTTCAACTATTATTTTACCATTTCTCTGTACTCATACTAGATAGTGCAACTGTAAGAGAAGACTCTCAAATCAGATTCAGACGCAAATGATTGGATGAGTAACAGTGTTCCATCCGATCATTCGGCTAAAAATATATTTAATATATCAGTATTACCTAAAGAATGAACTATATTGAAACTTGGTGAGATTAAGCTTTATGCTGGAAACAACTCATGATTGTGATGCCAACAAAGCCTGCCCTTTGATGTTTGTGTCTTATGGGGTGTGCTTTTCCATGTGATTATTGTGAAATAACATCAAAAAGTTATGAGGAATCTTGTGATAGTCTTCTCATTACATCAGTTAAGGAGCTTTAAATAAATCAAATCCACATGCCTTTCTTCTATCTCATAATTCTTTTCTGATTCTGTAGTTTTAGTTTTCTCGAATCACGAGAGTAACTTAACCACCTGGTAAAGATAGTTTGTGCTGAACAAATAATATGATTCTGGAGAAGAATGAAGAGATTGTTCCCCAACAGAACACAAGCAAGAAAAAACTAATTATGCTGCTTAGGTCCCAAAGACAACAAACAAACAGACAAACTAGTGTTTATCAACAAACCAACAGATACTCATACAAAACAAGCTATAGAGGAAAGATAGGAACTTGAAATTATGAGTTATAACCACCAGAAAGCATACACAATAACAAGTTACTGCTACATACCCGTTTTATGCAATGATGTACAATTGCCTTAGAACATCAAGAACACGACATGAGAAGGAGAGTGATGAAAGGAAAAGAAGGTTGTCTATGTATAGGAGTGGAAGAAAATAGTGTCTGCTTTTGGTTGGTTGCTGAGGGGAATGAAGCCTGGTCCGAAATCACCCAGAAGAGTTACGTCTGAGACTACTTACATGAATGATCTCGAACCAGACGACATTCCCCTCAACTTTTTTATGTATTTATGGCAGACAGGGGAAGTGTGGGAGGTAGGGAAGAGAAAAAAGAGAATATGAGAGAGAGAGACAGATGACTAAAGTTTTTGATATGGCCATGCATTATTTTTTCATGGGGTCCTTATTATATACGTAAGTTTCAGAACAGATTCTTGTTTCTTCTTCTCTCATTTGGCCGTTGAGGAGATTCTTTCTTTGCTCACATGATTTGAAGTCCACTTTCTACACTACCCCTAACTTGCTTTTCACACGTAGGATTTTTTCGTTTAATAACAGGAATGGTTTCCATCAAGAATCCTTCATTCATATAAAATATGGTTTTTTTGTTTGACAAGTTAACATTTTTCGTCTGCAACTTGTTTGATTAATCCATCTACTTTGGAATTTTCATTATCAAAGACACCCAGTTAAAACTGTGTCTGATGTTATTAGAAGGCTAAAAAAACTTGACCACAAACCGTAGTTAAAGCAAACACAGCCTTTTCACCTACTTAGCTAGCTACCCGAGTCTAACAAAAGTAGTACTGAAATTGGAGGCACATTATACCCTTATGGGTGTTACAATCAAAGTTTTGATATTCTTATAGTTTTGATTCTTTTGAAGGTTTTGACCTTGAGTTTATACTCCGCTCTCAAGTAAAGGATTTCCCTTTTGCTTGCCACTAGGGTAAAGAGAAGATAGTGATGGTCTTCGATGGGGATCCATCACACTGCAGCAATATGCCAAACTTGATTAACAAGTTTAACAGGAAAAAGTCGTTTAAAGGTATAAGCATATATGTACAAAGACATTAGAGAGAGAGAGAGTAGATTTTGTACCGAAGAAAAGAGGAACATAAAAGTCGCAAAGATTTGTATTAATGTTGCCTTTTGTTCAACTACTTTGTGACATTGCATACCCTCTGTTGTGCCTTCTTATAATGTAATAGTGTACCAATATGTGGCAATAGGTATGGGTATTCATAAATAGTGTGTTTATATAATATTATATGTTACTATTGTTAATGTTAATATGCATAAACAAACAAAAATCGAGTTCCTACATTCCAATAAAGTAGACATAAACATATTGTACTAGTTTTTCAAACACTGGCCTCAAATTTTTACTGCCAACAACAGTCACCTGAGATCGGTCCAAATCTGACATATTTTTACAGATTTTCATTCAGGCTATATTTTCTTCAAATGTTAAACACCAGTTCTCAACATTTCAAATGAAACTTGCATATTAAAAGTATTTTTACCTAGACTTTTAGGTAGACGCGCCGTGGACACATCACACATAAAAATGAGAAATTGTATCAGATAAGAGAGAATTTGGCTAAGTTGGAAAGATGTGTGATCCAGCTAAGAGAAGTTAGTACACCATATATTCCTGTGGACACGAGTCTTCCCAATGGATTTTTCCCCCATCAAGTTCATTATCAAAACAAAGGTCACTGAATATGCTAAAGACGTTTCTCTAATACGACCAAAACAATGTCTGGCCCAGAAATCTCCACACTGTGAAGGAAAACACATACATGAATAAAGTTTAAACAGGAGAAGCTCTTAAATTAAGACAAGACTTCAATTCAATATCTTATTTGTTTTTGTGATATTCTCTCAATAAATATATTTTCGTGTCTGCGGATCTCAGAAATCGAACTTGTGATCACATACTAAAAAAACAAGGCTATATAAGTATAGAGAATGTGCATTAGATGTGTATATTGTTAAAGATGTTGATGTAGTTAATTACTGGAGATATTAACACTTGAATTTTGTCCATGTTTTAAGTCAAAATGAGGTTTTGGGGGGCCAGCAAATGTCCGAAAATGCTGGCAGAATAAAGTTTCCTTGATATAACTTCCAAGAGCTAATAGATAAATGTAACACCAAACAAGCCCAACAGAAAAAGGTGGATGAAATCATTACTCATATGCAAATTTATAAAGAAAACATTTCCTAAATGACCAACGAGTCAAAATGCCTCTTCATTCCACATTTCCAAGTTTCTTCAACCAGAAAAAAGGTCTCTGATTTTAAAATTCTGCCAGAGGGGACAATAATTGAGACACTCCTCCAAGAGAAATTTAACTACAGGGATATATTTTTCCTCTTTGTTTTAGACTATCCTACTGTGTGGCGGCTTACGTTATTACATTGACCTTCTACCTATAGAAATGCGTATCATCGATCACTTCAACATGTTAAATCTTTTACTTTTTCCTTTCTTTTTTTTAGTTTTTGGTTGGATTTTCTAAAAGCTTTTCCCGTAAAAAGTAAACACGTCATTGTACAGTTGTTCTAAGCTTCGGTGATTATATTATGTGGTTATTAATGTTGTCGTGAATTTTCCCCATGGTCAACAATGTTTAGCGCCATCATTACACTTGCAGATTCAGTTTCTTCAATGCCACACTCAGATCAGAATTGTGTTCACTTCATATGCTTTTCTTTCTTGACAAAACTTGTATCCAATAGTCTATAATTAATGTTTTTTTACAAGCCATCATCCAAACACAACCAAGAGTTATAAGTGGGTTAACGAGTCTTTTACTACTCTCTACCAAAAACCTCAATACAAATCTTTTACTTTTATATGGTATTATACTTTCTTATTTCTATTCAACGTAGAATTTGGATTCACATTCGAAATCCTAATAATCTTGGTATATAAGTATATATGATAGGAAGACAATTTAATCATACATAAGTGATAACATTAAAATGATTATTTTTCTTGATCGCGTGTTAAGGTAGTATTAATTGTACATTTGATGAACACTTAGGTTTATAGGCTAATTAAAAATATAAATAGATTAATATATACATTGTTCATTTATATATTGATTATCTTATTTCTAACTTGAGTGCTAGAGAGTTTTTCACAAGAAATATTCCATAAGTCCAACATTAATGAATAAGAAATAACACATCTGGAAAGGAATAGGATATGATGGATGAGAAGATAGAGATATTTTGATATTATAAGATACGGAGAGAGTTATACGTAAATTAAGATAAATAGAATTAACATTTATTGATTATTCATACACTATTTGTATACTGGTATTGCATTTTTCATTTTAAACTCATTTGTTAAAATCCACTGTCTCATGTTATTCATATCATTAACAAACTTCCTTACATCTATTTTTAAATCAAAAATCACTTTTTGAAATGTTGCATCACACTCTTCCAACGTTGTAAAGTCTAAAGTTTGTTATTTCTTGATTCACAATTTCACATGTCTATATTTCTTTTGTTTTAAATCCTATGCCAAAGGCTACATTTTTTTTTATCTTAAGTCGAAAATTCATATTTCTCAACCTAGTATCACATGAGCGCATATTGTCATATTTCTATATTGAACCACCACTTTCACTTTTTGATACAGTATTAAAAGAGTTATTGATTTAAACCTCAAGAGATGATAGAATGAGGTGTTTGAAAACTCAAAACCCGTGAAAGAATTCACAATAATGGCAAAAACATGTAAGTTCCATGGAAATCAATTCGACAATTACAAAACAAAAAGGAAAACAAAAACGAGTTGCAAAAGGAAATAAAAAATGGATTGAAAGAAGAAAATTGAAACAACACATCACCTTTAAAATAATTTCCAAAGGATAATTTACTGAAATCATATGAAAACACTAGGGGGTGAACAGTGTTTTTAAAATCTTTTCGCAAAACATCATCTAATGGTTTATAAAAGATATACTTTGTATGAGAGGTTTAGATGATTTTTATAGAAAACGTAAATAGAAAACATTTCAAAGAACAAAGCAGTAAATCATAGATTTTATACTGGTTCACTCAATCTTACTCAGCCTGAGCTACGTCCAATTTCTCCTTTAAGAACTCTTAAGGGTTTCATTAATCTTTTAGAAAGATTACACGAGTTTTACCTCTCCAGGTTTACAACAAGTATTCTCACCACTCTTAGTTCACTTAGTCAACACGACTAATCCAAGTTTAACCCCTCATGATTTACAAGTATTTTAACCACTTTTGTTTTCAACCTTAGACAACACATCTAGACGGTTTTTATTTAGCTGAGTTAAACACCAAGTGTTTTAATTCTTTTCAAAATTTACAGCACAAACAGTGTTATGAGAAAATGTATAGATGATAACTCTAAAAAAAATGATATAAACAATACAAAGAATTTTGTGATTTGCTAAGATTTTTCTCTTCTAGAGAAATATTTAACTTCAGACGATATATGAGCACAGGAGGCTTAGCATACACGAGTTCATTATATTATTCTTCTTATATTCCCTTGAAGCTTTCGTCTATATATACCTTTTTTTGAAAGATGATCATTAGATAAAGAAGTTGACTTCAGGAAAGCATGTAGCTTTTACGTGGAAAGTCAGACTTTAGTCTACTTTGTTGAGATCAGAGCTTTATCATAGTCTTTAGCAAATCAAGCTTGTATGATGTGAGAGAGCAAAAGACTTCAAGGGAAACACTCCCATAATGTTCTTCATCTCTCACAACGTCTTTTTCTTGGGTGTTGTGATTATGATTATATCTTTCTACTTTAGTAATCTGCACAAATATCAAGAATAAGGTATACAAGCATCGAGGTACTTTATTGTACATGCATTTAATATTTTTAACATTGATAAGCTTTAGGCCGTAGTGCACGTACAAAATATTTTATCATTTGTCATATATCTTTAATAAATGCATCATTTGGTAAAGTATAAATATATTTGATTATCAAATTATGTAAAACATTATATGCTTTATCATAGACTATTTGAGAAAGTAGCGTTTAGCAGTCATATGTTAGACAGTGTAAATCATAAGACGCTTTGCTTGAGTTAACACTTTATTAAATTAAACTTTCTTTTAGCTTCAATGTCATAAAAAGATGAACTTTCTTGTTCATAAGACGCTAACTTGTTACTCATTCATCTACTAAATGATATAAAAGAGAGACACTTTCTTTTCTTAGACGTTATTTATAAAATAAGTTCATCAGACAATTTTTTTCTAGAAAATGTTGTTCATAAGCTTGATTTCATCTAAAATAGATGTTACAAAATATTTTTCTCTTAGACATTATTTCTTTGAAACAACTTTTCATACACAATGATATTTTGTCTGATGTTTTTGTTAAACTTGAAAACCTGAGTTGCT